CCCCTGACCCGCTACGCTGAGCTGCGAAAGCCAAGGGTCTCTTATGAGGGGTCACCCCGCTGCCTTCACCAGTCATCCGGTTGCCGTTTTAACAGCCTAGGAGCGCGAGTGCAAAGCGTGGGCAGAGACGCTGTGAAAGGGGTGGGGAAGGAGCAAGGGAAGAGTGTTCTCCTAGACCTGGATGCCGTGGAGGTACCCGGCGGGGACAGCGACCTGCCTGACTTACTCGGAGTCCCTGCGCCGTTGCAATTTCACCAGCTCCCTCTGCTTTTCCTTGTACCGCCGCTGCACCTCAGCCAGCCGCATCCTGTAGTCCAGCTCCATGGCATCCATGTTCTCGATGGCGGACTTGATGGAGAACATCTGGGGAGGGGGGAGGCAAGGCAAGCAGAGACGGTATAAGGGGATGCGGGAAGGCTGCTGCCAGCCCCGGGGTTAGGTTAGAACAGGCCTGTTGCTGCTCCCCATCCCGCTGCTCAGCAAGGGCCACAGAGTCCCATCAATGCAGCGAGCAGAAGAGCTGCCCTCCCACATCACAACTGGCAGAGAACTCCTATTTACATGGGGTTGCCTCCTTACCTTGGAGACCGGGCATTTGAATGCCCTAGCAGGCTGCCCTGCAGTGGCACGCGCAGCTGCCATGTGGGAGACCATAATGTAAGCCCTGATTGTCTGCTCCCCTAACTAGAAGGAGATGTTACACCTCTGCAGAGGCAGGCAGCTCAGGCCCTGGAAGCCAGGGCCACCATGCTGTGCCAGGACCCCCTCCAACCTCAGTAGAGGGCAGCACAGTCATGTCCCTGTCCTCCTTGTCTGGACGGGTGCTGGGTCCAATGAGGAAGCAGACCAGAAGCTTAAACCTGCCATAGGAAGGCTCCTGTTTTCCTAGGGCACAGGGCTGGGCAGACATACCTGAACTGGCTTGGGCACTGAAAGCAAGCTAGCTGCATTACCACACTTCACCCAAGCTAACTGGCCAGGCAAGCATATGGCGCATCTCCCCACTACCCTTCTAGTGCAGGTATACTGCTTCTAGTACCTAAGCTGGCTTGTTCAGAGATAGTGCAGCTATCTCAGCATGACTCTACGTTGTAGGCATGGTGTGAGAGTGCAAAGAGAGTCTTGGATCCATAAAAGGAAAAGCCAAGGAGTTGAATAAACCAATTAATTCTTCCTCCCGTTGACTGGATTTAAACTCACCCCAACACATTACCAACCATTCAGCAGTTACTGCCTAGTAAATGCCTAAAGAATTTGCAAAGCTATCCCCCCGAGAAGTAAAAGAATGCCGGCACTATCTTTGTGTACCCCCGCGGCCAAAGAAACAACGTATGAGCTTCCCCTGCTGCCTTTGTATGGCAAACACCATTCCCAACACTGTGCCCCTTCCCGCTGAGATCAATGATGCTTAAGCACAAACAAGGAAGGAAACCACATCGTGCCCCATTGACTTCTGCTCAGCTACAACTGCAGAGCTGGGAAAAGGAGAGAGGGGGAAAGTGCAGGTTGGCAGTGAAAGTAGTCGGGAAGTGAACTGCTGTATGGACGAACAGCGGCATTGAGAGGACCTTTCAGGTACCCCATGGCTTCAAGCTCAACAGCATCAAAGAGCTACTTACAGGTTCATCCTTCTTCTGCATCCAGCTGTACTTCTTGTTGGGATTCAGCTCTCGAGGCAGCCGGATGGTTTTCAGACTGTCCATGAACGGGGTGGAAAGCACCTCCATCAGCATGTGGGTGCTGGCCGCCAGCAAACTCTCCAGGGTGGGGCGGATGGGACAGTTCTCTGGATCTGCTTAGGAATGAAAGAAACCTTTAGGATTTCACCTGCCATCACGACAAGAGTCGACTGATCTCTGATGGGCATCAAAGATCTGTCCTCTGCCATGGGGTGTCTGAATCAACCTCGGTACCACCCATATCTGAGGCCTAGCATGTAACGACCCACTCAAGGGATCCCCGGCAGCTTTCCAACAGACAGAACACTGTTTCACCCGCACCTGGACGTGACTGGAAGCCAAGATCCTTTCAGGATCAGCCAGGCTCTTATTGCTGAAAGTCGGTTAGAGCATCTGGGCCTCCTATGCCAAACCCTGGCTGCCTACAGAACCAGTCTTTGCCCAAAGGATGTTAAGGCGGGCAGAACTTGGTGAGCGTAACAGCAAGAGGGGTCGTGCTGTTTAGTACCATGTTGTGTTCATCTATAAACTGTCTAGACGCAGGGATGGGCTTGGAAAGCAAAAAGCAGCCCAGACACCACTTGTATCTCTACCTCCTGTGGCAGGACTCTGATGCCAAGTCAGTCTGGAGAATCAGCAATAAAAGCAGGTTACACTGGGAGCTTGGTGGGGCTGCTGGACAAACGTGCAACACGCGCCGACTCAAATGCTCGGAGACAAGGGGATTATGTGAGTGTGGGGCCCACAGAGACACTCCAAGCTGCACGGACAGGTGCAAATATACTAGCCCCCTCCCAGGATTAGATATGGTGCCTTCAACCCCACAACTCACTCTGCATTTCTTGTTTCCTCTTCTCCAGTTCCATCTCTGCGATTTCACTCAGCAGGGTGATCCCCTGCAGGAAGGAGTGCTCCAGCGACTGGTCGGGGGATGCCTCCATGGTCATTTGGGAGTGGGTTATGACGCTGGTGGTCAGCAAGGAGCAAGCCTGAGGCATCTCTGTAGCAGCTACTAAAGCATTCATGCCAGCCAGTGGGTCATCAGGCTTGATGTCCAGAGCTGGGATTTGGCAGGACATGGCCTCATCCGCGTACGGGGGAATCTCTGACCCCTGCTCCCCCTCAGCTGAAGGCAAGCTGGAAAACTCCCGCCCTTGAGGCAAGTGACTGCCCTGCAGGTCCATGGCCAGGGAAGGCTCCTCCCCTTCGGGCTTCACATCCATCTCTGGCTGCTTGCTCTCTGCGTGCATCAGTGAGCTCTCATACTCCATATGCACTGAGCAGGTCTCTGGACCGGTGCCTGCCTCAGTCTGGGCCTCTGCTTCTGCAGGGCAGGCCACGACCTGGTAGGCTTGCTGACAGCTCTGGAGGGCCTCTTGCTCCTGCTCCATAGTGCTCAAGGCTTCCCCTTGGCGCAACAAGAGATTGCAGCTGTCCATGTTCTGCACAGGGACGGCAGCGGAGGTGGCCATGTTCAGAGCCTCCATGTCCTGCTCGCAAATCCCTTCCTGGCTTTCGTCCATCTCCACTTCCGACTTCACCCTCTCTTCCAAGGCCTCTTCTTCCACCGTGGCCTGAATGGGCTCCAGCATTTTGGACGGGGACAGGTGTATGGGCTTGACCTCTGGAGAAAGCTCCATGTGCTCAGAGCCCTCCGCGGGCAGGGGGACGTCAGGAGCCAGGCCATCCGCATCAGAAGCTGCCGTGGGCTGGAGGAGGTAAGGATAATGGCGTCCGAAGGAGGCGGGAAGGGACTGGAATGGATACCCTGGTGGGATCTCTGCAAGAAACCAAAAGAAATAGGATGGAGAGAGGCTGGGTGCCCATGAGCCCTGTCACCCAAGCCTGGTTCTCTCCTACTCAATTCCAGGGACAGTTTTCCTTCTACATGCCACCCTCTCCGACCCCTTTGCTCTTCTCAATGGCTGCACTTCTGGTATTCCCTCTCTGCTCAAGCTGATGTCCTCCATCAAGGCTGTAAAGACCACAGGAACCATCAGCCAGCTAGTCCCAGGGGAGAAGAGAATCCAGCCTCCGCTCTTCACCCCGCTCTTCTCCCCCAAATGCTAATCTTCACCTGGAGGAACCAATCCCTCCCAAAGTAAGACGAGAACCGGGACCAAGACTCCTGGTATCTCTACAGTGCCACATCACAGGTCAATCCTTGCACCCCATCTCCCAAGAACTTCCTGCTCCGTGTGCATTAGCCTTCACTGAAAAGGACCTATGCAATCTTCTCCTGGGAAGGGTCTGAAGCAGGAAAGAGTTGAGGAGAGAAAGGGAGCCAGGCACAAACACACGGGGACTCTGCCAAAGCAGGGCTCTCTTACCTGGGAACAAGGCCTGGAATGGACTGGTGGCCTCTTTCTCCAGTTCCAAGTCTTTCTTCTCCACATTCTCAGGTGTCTCTTCTTTTGGAGGGATGGTAGGGGCAGGGGGTGGAGAGGCAGGGGCAGGGCTAGAAGGATGGGAGCTGGGGGTGGCAGGATAGGAGTAGGCTGGCTGTGTAGGTGGCGCCTCCATCTTTTGGATCACCTCAGCTTTGAGCACAGACACGGGCGAGGCTCTGGGAGACAGGGGGGGTGGACTCACAGCCTTGCTGTAGGACGTGGAGGTGCTCGGAGACAGGACGGGTGGCTTCCGGTGCAGCAGCCCTGATGTGGAGGAGGACAGGCCTGACTTGGCATTGTCCAGGCTACGTTTGCTAATCTTCTCTTCCATGTCCACTCGATGCTCATTGGCTTTTAACCTCTCCTGTTGCAAAAGCAGAGAAAAAACCTTGGGGTGATGTTGCTTGGGATACCAGGCCTGAAAGCAAGAAGGAGCCTCAACATTAAGCTAGTAGGGAGGTCAAAAAAGACACCACGACCAGCCATTATCAGCACTGGAGAAGGGCTAATGCAAGGTATTGGAGCCAGGGCTCCCACACACAACACAATGCCCCATCTCAAAGCTCTTGCTAAGCAGCTGAGTCAACTGACCCAAAGTGACAATGTAGGGGGCAGCTATACAGGAATTGATCCTGAAAGGGCTCCCTGCAAGTGCCAGGTGGGAGGTCTAAAAGAGTTAGAAGCTTTACAATGAAGAGGTTGTAGGAAAGGCCAGGACGGAAGATGACTGCTGCTGCCGACTCTTGTGACTTGTATCACAAGCTATTTAAGACTTCCTCTCCCAGCTCCAGGAGCCATGCAAATACCTGAGAACCTAAGCTGCCATTTAAAAGAAAAAGATTTCCAGCTCCTAAGCTAGAAACATGCAGCTTAATAATCATTCCCCCGTTCTGTCCCCAAGCAACACGACAAATGAAGGCAACTTGAAAGCAGGCTGAACTTTATGCTTTTTAAAATCTTGTGCCTTAAGCCTGTCTCTGGTCACTTGGGGTTTGACACGATGTTTGTGTGCTTGTGAGTGATGATATTGGGTCCCGAGGTTTCAGGAAGGAGTATGTGGTCTAGCAAGATTTGTTTGGAGTGGAATTGGCACTGAAATGCTGTGTTCAATAAAGGAGGCATCAACCAGCAAACTGCTGTTTGCAGCCGTAATCAAGGTACCGAGCCAGCGTCCTAATGCCTCCAGGTCAAAGGACCCCAAGACTGAGGTTTCCTTAAGGACTGGAAATAAACTGCTTGGCAGATCTCTCTGAATGCTGGGTGTGCGAGCAAAGAAAATGGGAGGTTATAGGGATCTGTGCTCCCAGAGACCCAGACTACAAGACTGCCTTGCTGTAAAGCTGCCCGTCACAGCCCCTACAGAACATACCACCAGCTGTGCGCTCCTCTGGAGCTCCATGGCATGCGCGGCTTGCTGCTGCAGGATGTATAGCTCGTGCTGTCGAAGCAGCTGCTGGTGAGACAGCAGCTGGAGCTGGTGCGCGTGCTGGAGGGAGCTTCTGGTTGGAGGGTACATCGCTGGCCAGAGAGGGGGGGTGCGCTCCATCAGCTCAGCTATGGCAAAGCAGAGACACAAAGGCCATTGCTACCATGGGGAGAACATGAGCTCATGGGGGATCTGCACTCATCTGAGGCTGGTGCAGGTTCCATGCAGAAGCGTCTCTTGCCAGACAGTGCAACGTGTACCCTCCTGGCGTGTTCCCACTGACAGACCCCAGTCCTCGCCCTGTACCCCAGGTTTGGGTTACGATCAGTCAAGGCAGTGCCCAAAAGCCATCTCCCTTGCTTGTGTACTCACCAAAGTGTGGCAAGTGCTCACTGGGGATCACAACTAGCTGCCCAGACTGAGGATCTCTGACAAACTGGTAGGCAGAAGGGAGAGCGCCGCCCATGGCAGGGGGGAAGCCTGGAGTCATGCCTTGGTGCAAGGAAGGGTGTCCAAGTCCTAGAAAAAGAATCATCACCCCAGCTCAGCTCGATGGGACAGAGGTGTGCACAAACCCCCAGCCCCAGAGGGCTTTTGCAGACATTGAAGCAAGGGGGAGATATGGGGTACGTGAAGGAAATGAGTAGGCAAAAGAGAAACTAGAACCCCGTGCTGCTCACAGGGCCTCAGCCTGCATCAACTACAGGCATGGTGCCTGCTTCAAAGCACACAATCTCCCTCCTCCCTGCAAATCAGATGGGGGCCAAGAACAAAGCACACAATCTCCCTCCTCCCTGCAAATGAAATGGGGGCCAAGACCCCCCTGCCAGTCAGTGCCATTCTGCTCCTCCCTGACTGCATTCGCACACACCCGCCACAGGCCCCTGCCCTTCCCGCTCCCAGAGACTCACCGTAGGGGTGGCCAGCTAGCCACATGGAAGGGCTACCTGTCCTGGGGAGCCAGGGGTGAGCTGCCAAGTGAGAAGCAGGGTCAGCAGACCAGCGCCCTGAGCCGGCCAGCGTTGGCCCCCCTGTCACCATGAGGTTGGAGTTCAAACCGTTGGTGGCACAGCCAGAGGGGTGTATCCGAGCAAAGTCTGCCAGCTCCTTGCTTTCTCTGAAGGGTAGGAGAGAAGGGGTGAAAAGCAAAGGGTTAGTACAGTCCACCTTGGCTGGCTGAGGAGCGCAAAGCATCAGCTCCCAACACAGCACACATTACTGGACCTCCTAAGAGTCGGTTTTCAAAATAAAGCTCAGCAGCACGACGACAGGTTAGGAGAGGTTGTGTCTGGAGCCCGAGGGCTCCTTAGAGCAAGAGGAAGGTGAGCAGCAGGTGCAGAACTCAGCTCAGCACCCGCTGCCCTCCTTTCCTTGGGAGCAGCTCTGGGTTCTGCCCAGTATCTTGTGAAGCCTCTGCCTTCACCGGGGGCATTAGCAAGGGTCATGCTGCGGGCCGATGAGAGGTGCAGTGCAGATGCTTGCAATGTTGGCAGGCTCCTTGGTCTCTACCCTCCCTGAATCCCAGCCCCCTCCTCGGGGCCTGCCTCTGCTCTTGGGGCCATCAGCACTTTGTCAAGACTGCTGCTGGCACCCACATTCCCAGAAGAGCAGAAGGCTGGACGCAGGAGCCTGCGATGCTGTTGGCTTCACGTGGGAGACTCTACGTGCACTGCCTGCAGCACAAAGTGCCAAGGGCATGCACACGCCATGTACACAGGGAGAAGCAGGGAGCAGGCCTGAAGGAGCAAAGCCCAGGCCCTCGAGCAGGGCATCACCTCAGCAGCTTCTCTTGATCTCGCTCCAAACGCCCTGCCAGGAGGTGGCTGTCCCGGTGGCGGCCCCGGTCATCCCCACAGTCATCGTCCGAGCGGCCGTGCCCTGTGATGCAAACAGAAGCTTAAGGGCTAGAAGGGATGTCCGCGGCACTCTAGTCCAGGCCATCAGTAGATGACAAAAGCAAGCCATGAAAATACCACTGGCCTCCTTCGGTAAGACACACTGGGCTCCCTCCGAGCTGGCAATTCAAGGGCTACAATTCCCATTTAGCGTCTCCTGGCAGTCACCGTGAGCAGTCAACAGAGTCAGCTGGAGTCATAGGACAGGGCTGCCAAGGGACCTACCAGTCAGAGATATGATCAACGCACAAAACTTAAGGGATTGCCTATTCTGGCGTTTTTAACACTGTTCCCATCCCAGTCACGTCTGGTTTGAAGTCATTCCAACCACAACTGATGTGTTAAAAGCTAAAACTATTGGAACAAACTTTACCTGCAGACACAGTGGGATTTCCTGTTGCTTGAGGTATGCTAGTAGGAAATCCAGGTTGGTCTTTAAGACTTCCTATACAGATCGGGTCAAATGGAAGCTATTGGCTCGACACAGAAATGCCTGGGTGGGGTTCTCCAGTCTGTTAGGCAGGGAGCAAACAGGTGCTTTCCTCTGCTCTTATTCTTCCAACACTACTTCATTTGGTCAAAATCTACCGATACATGAACGCCCATAATAAACACCGCCAGCCCACAAGTGACGGGAGACACCTACGGTGCTGATAGCACAGCCCCAGCCTTGCAAAGCAACCTTTTAGCAGAAGCCCTCAACCCTCCTCAAAGTCCAAAGGACCCAAGGAGACTCTGCCCAGGTGCAAGGAGGTGCTGGCATCAGGGTTAGGCAGCAGGAGTGAAGGAGGGATTGGGCATTTGCATGGCCAACTGGACCCAGAATTAAATCCACCAATGCAACCAAAGCTTGGGCTGGAAGAAAAACTTCCTGATTCAGGGGGTGAGCAGGTGAGGGATCTGTGGGGGGCAAATCTACGGCGGGACACCTTGTTCTTCATCTGAAGCCTTTGGTGCCGGTCACCATCAGAGATATGATCATGGAGTAGATGGAACCTGGGTCAGCATCAGCTTGGCACCTCCCATATCCAAAGCACACTCTTAAGTCCTGGTTACCTTATCTATTTATTTTCCTGGCTACAAGTCCAATGCCCTTGCCTTGGATACCTCCCTCTATCCCTCGCACAATCGCCTTTTTTCATGCCTTAGCTTTTCTTAAGAGCTTTGGTTTTCAAAGCCTGGCCCTAGCCTCAGTCAGTCCGTGGGAGACGGGTGGGAACCTCCATTTCCCCCACCCGGCAATTAGCAGGTCTCCATTAGCAGGCCTGGAGCCCACAGTGGCGCGACTCTACCCCTGGGTGATGGCCCTCATCTTTCACCGGATGTCTCCCTTTGAGCAGGGCGGTTTTCCGTTGCTTTCCAGAGCTGCCCCTCTGCTCTGCAGCGAGGAGGGGGAGCGAGGGCCGGGGATGGAAAGCATCTCGACATCCAGTCTATTTTGCTGACAGGGAGTCTTTTAAAGGAGGGCTCCGCTGTGTATTTCCACAAGCCTGGACAGCCCGCGTTTCTGAGCTGTCAAGACTGCAATTCCCTCCGCTTTTACTGTCAGAAAGAATATCGGAACGAAACGACATCTCTCCCCCTCCCTCCTTTTGATGGGCGGCAGGCAGAAAGCGCCGATCGCCGCGTGCCAGGGTTTCCACTATCTGTCCCATGATCCCAGTACAGGGTTGGACACTAGACGCCTTCACGCTCTCTGAGCTATCAGCTCTTGCTTCGGTCAGGACAGCGTGCCGGATGGGTTTTGAACCTGAAAGCTTGCTTAATAACTATTCTCCAACCATTTGCGTTGGTCTAATAAAAGATATCAGATTCACCCAAGGAACCTTGTCTGCCCAAGCCTTCCCCCATGCTTCCCACTGGGCCTGCAGCTATTCAAAGCAAGAGGGAAGAGGCCAGCACCACCTTTGCTCATCCTACATTTGACTTCTCCAAGGACAGAGGAAAGACCCCTCTGCCCCGCCAAACACTCTGCATTACAGCACGGTCCCTCTGCAGAGGGATGACGGGCAAGACGTCAAGCCCGTCTCCGAGGCACCTAGATCCCCATGCTCCGGTGCCCACGCTACCCCGATGGTCATCTCGCTGCCCCACAGCCAAAACAGGGCGCACGGAGAGGATATGGTCTGATACGCCTTTGAAAGCGGAGCGGGGAAGGGAGAGAGGGGAGGGGAAATGGATTTTTCCAGGCACATCCATCAAGTGAGCTGGCAGCACCATGGGGTTGTACATCAAACCCACCTTAAGAGCGCCTTCTGCTGAGTCTACAACTCCGCGCGGCGGCGTGCGTGGAGCGCCGATTGATCTCGGGGCCCGTGTTTCTTAACAGCTCGCTAACACCGCCAACACACACATACCCCTGGCCCCAGCGCCCGCGGTTTTCCGTTCGGAGCCCCTTTCTTTATTTATTTATGGCCGAGAAAGGCCTGGCCGCCCCTCCGGCAGCTGGAATTGGGACAGGACCTGCAGCTACTTGCCTCCCCGGCCTCTTTCCCCTCCTTGCTGCGGGGCGAGCCAACCCCCCCGTTAGCCATGTATTCTCCCGGGCTATTTTAATTCTCCTTTTTTTTTTTTTGCAAGGGGGCATCATTTATATTATTGTCAGCTGGTTATTTATAGCTCCGTTTTTATTAAACATAAAATAAAACCCCTGGCTCTTTCTTGCCGCTACAGTTCCCCTTCCCAGAAGGGAACGGCTTCCTTTTTCGGTACAAATCGGCGATTGTCTTCCTCCATGAATGGCCATTTTGTCCACGTAGACGAACATGACGCAGGGAGCGCATACAAAATTCAATCAGTTAGGCACGGAGGGGGGGAGGGGGAAAAAAAAAAAAAAGACAACTCTAGGCCCGTTGCCTTGGCAACCTATGCCCAGTACTAAATACTTGCATTTTCCTTGCCAAATACTACAGATTAGCCAACTAAAGCCTGCTTTCTCTTTCTTAAAAGGTCTAAACATTCAAGCACCATCCACTCGCTGCAACCAAGCTAATGTTATTAGTGGAATATCTCTTGGCACGCAAGGAGGGGTTGGGGAGGCGGAGGGGGGAGAAAAGCGCCCTTGTTTTCGGCATGAAAGCCAACGCCATCACTTAGCAACAGACCCCGAGCCCTGTTAGAATTCAACCCTTGTTTGCAGCCTTTTAGTTCGGCTCAGTAAATTACATTTACCGCGGGCTGGGAGGGGCTGGGCGAGTGAATGGCTTAACAAACAGCTCGCTGTGCCGGCGACGAGGCTTTCTGTGCGCTTCGGCCCGGCGGAGGGGCGAGCGTGGAAAGAATTAAGGGGGCTCTGGGAATGGGAGGGGGGCCAAGGAGGTCGGAGCTGCCAAGAGGGAGAAAAAATGACCCTTTGCACAAAGGTTTCGGCTAGGAGAACGTGATGGCGGGGGTGATGCATCTTTGCGCCGGGGAAGGATTAAAAAGCGGGGTGGAAAAAAAGACTATCGGAGCCAAATGAATGCGCCCGTCTGACTCCCACCCTCTCGGCGCTGCCATTCAATGGGAGCCGTGTGGAACACGGCCTGGGAAGCGAGGGCCAAGGGGCGGGCGCCCGCCCGCCGGGGAGGGACCAGAGGAGGTGGGTGTGCAGCTTTTCGGGTCCGACTAGAGGCCAGGGGTTCCTCCCTCCTGGCGTGTCTGCACCTCTTCCAGCAATTAAAGGTCTCCGCACTTTTGGTATGAATGAGCTCCCCCGCTTGTATGCCCAAGGGTCTTTCCTCCCCGATAAGCTCTGAGATGTACCCCCCTTTCCCCAGGGGAGCAAGGTTTATTACCCCTTGGTGCCTTGGCAAGCAGGACGGGGAGGTCAGCACAATATTGGGACACAGACCCGTACGCCTGGCAGCAAAAGACTCAGTATTTCCTCAGCAGCACGGGGCGGGAAGATCGACTCGAGGACCACTGCAAGCCAAGAGAGGACACTTATCCTCTGAAAAGCGCCTCTCCAGGCTCAGTCCTCCGGAGGCGTTCAATACGATGGGCGCAAGGGGCAGGGGCATCGACGTGCATTGGGGCATCCGAAGAGGAAAGAGAGATTAGGAGCAATCAGGCTGCTCACACCGCGCCAGCCTTGGGAAGCCGGGAGGGACGGGATGGACATCGCATCAGTCGAACGTCAATTGGTTTCTACACCGATTTGCAAAACCTGATGCAACCGCCCTGCGCAGATCTCCTCGCTGTGGGTTCAGGGAGGTTTCTTTCAGCTCAGCTTCCCAAACTCCTTGCTACCAAATTAAAATCAAAACTACATCAAACTACACAGGTTTATGCACAGGTTTGCACCAGGGGTTTGAACATCCAGAGATGCCACTGGGGCCTTTCCCTTTCCTTGAGGTGACACCCTTCCTTTGGAAGTGCAAGCAAGCTCATGGGGACACCTTTTCCTGCAAAAAAAGGCCTCTCTCACCCCCAAGAAAATACAATTAGAAAAAAAAGGATTTTTACAAAAAGAATCCCACAAAAATCTGGAGAGCGTTCGTCAAAAAACGTAACTTCTGTTGCTGTTGACCTTCACCCGCCACAAGTGTTTCGTTTTTACTGAAAGTTTTCACCCAGCGCAGCTGAAACGGTTTCGGTTTTGGATAACACAATCCCAATTTTTGTTGTTCTCAAAAATGGGCTTTTCCCACTGGAGTTTCCATTTCAATAATAATAAAAGAAAGCTATGTTTCATTTTAAAACTATTCCAAGGCAAAACTTTGATCAATCTCAATCACCGTCTGGAGAATCCTCTCTGTGGGTTGCTTCTGTTTACTGTAAGCTGCGCTGAGTCTTCGAGATGGGACGGGATATAAATCTAATCCAGGGTATAGACAACTACAGGGCCCTGACGGGTTATGGGGCATGTCCCTAAGCTCAAAGAGGTCTAAGTCAGCAGGGATCCATCCACTGACTTTACTGGGCTCTGGAACAGGCCAGATCTAAGTGGTTTTTGTGCGGTGTGTGGCTCATACCAGGGTCAGACCCAAGCAGCTCTCTCATCCCTGATGGATGGGACTAGACTGGGCTGCGGGGTTAGCACGACACTTTTCCATTGCTCCTCCACCCAACGCGATTCTGCGACACGCGTGCAAGACGTGGTGGGGTCTCCAGGCAAACAGGACACATGGCTAGTGCAAGCGCTCAGTTTGGGAGTGCTTTTGGGGTCTCAGCTGATTCCTGATGTCTATGTGCCGAGCACCTGTAGGGGCTATAGCCTTCAAGGCTGGACACTGGAGAAATCCTATGATGGTTGCTAGCGCCCTGGCTTCTCAGACCCGAGTGAGACCTGCTCTGCAAGGGGTCGCTCTCCGGTTTTCCAAGGCTGGGCTCCAACATGGGGAGCCTCACTGTAGCTATTAGGCACTGGGGGAAACTCCTGGAGGAGTGGGGGTTGATAGGCTACCCCCTTCCAGGCCTCCTCTGGATCCACCCCTGCAGCCCACACTTGAACCACTGGCACAGACCAACAGGTGCCTTTTATAAGCAAGGTCTGCATTGAGCAACAATGGCATCTAGCGGCCACCCAGGCCCACTGCAGGCACGACGGTTGTGGAGTCCTCTTGCCAACATCTCGTTTCCATTAAAAAAAATAAGAGCTGAGCTGCAAATTCAGCCAGCAGCCCACTGTGCTGAGCACCGTAGCTCTGCTAAATCTGAAGGGCGCTGGAAATCAAACAGGCCGGTGCTAGGTTTAATAAGAAACTAGTCAATGTACGTGTGTGTGTGTGTGTGTGTGTGCATGTGTTTGGGGGGGGTGGGGAGTATACAGGTTGTAGCCATATTGGTCTACAGGCAAAAAGGAACCAGAACTCGTGGCAGAGGTGATCTCTTGTATTAGACCAACTAGATACGTGCAAAAAAATTATTTATTTGCAAGCTTTCGGGCACGTTTGCCCTTCTTCAGGCATAGGAGAATGCAAAGATTGTAAAATGTCTCCTAGGTGGCAATGAAAATTCGTATTTCACAGGAGGGCTGAAGGTGTTGTAAGATCTCCTGTTGTAAGAACACTTTCAGCTCTCCTGTGAAATATGAATGTTCAGTTCCACCTAGGAGACTTTGTATTCGCCTATGCCTGAAGAAGGGTGAGTGCGCCCCCGCAAGCTTGCAAATAAAGATTTTTTTTTGCATATATCTAGTTGGTCTAATACAAGAGATCACGTCTGCCACAAGTTCTGATTCCTTTTGTGTGCGCGCATGCACGTGTATGTGTATGCATGGAGATAGGGGAAGGATGGCCCCATCAGAGCCGGGTTTGCAGGACAGAACAAGCATGTTCATGCTCATGAACATCAACTCAACAGAAGTAAGCAACCGAGGAGGCCAAAACATTACACAAGCCAAGTAGATCGAGTGGGTCCAAGGCACCAGAGGATGGGGGAAATGACAGGCAGAGCTTGGGGTCATGCCACAAACCAGCCCCTTGGGAACAGACCAAGCCTGGGTGGTTTGCTCACAGCAGGGAGAGGGAAGAAGCAAAGAGATGATGTCAAAGGGGGAGGGCTGCATTCTGGTATCTAGGACTCATCTCAGCCAAGCACAGGTCTTGAAGGAACCTCTGCTAGGGTAAGAGGGAACAGCCAGATCCCCCAGGCCCCTTCAGTCCTGGGCTTTCCTGCCCGGGGAATGACAAGAGCCTTCTGGTTGGCTGCACGCCCTTGTGCAAAGAAGGGATACAGCTGAGTCTGCCCAACTCAGTTCACAGGGGACAGCCAGCGATCAACCCCAGTGGCAAGAGGCTCCATCTGTCACAGCCAGCCTCTGCCCTTCTCCCCAGGGAAAGCTACTTGAGGACTAAGCTCTGGACACCCATCCTATTCCTGTCCATCCCCGATCCACAGTCAGCCCAGAGAGGGAACCCCGTGTCATTTCAGCTTCCCCGATGTGCCCCTTTGCTCTCAGCCCATCCCAGGTCGGCAGAGGGGGTTAGGACAAGAGGGAGAGCAAGGCTCTGAGATGGATGCTAGGATCCTACCTTTGATGCTGCTCAGGGAAAGGGAGCGATCCCGGTCCGCCAGGCTGGGCCCCAGCTTGCTGCTGCTGTTGTCCTTCTGCCGGGCCACTGCCACCGCGATGCCGACAGGCAGGTGCCTCACCTCCACCTCGCCCTGGGAGCCGATGCTCTCGCGGCCAAAGGACTTGGCACTCTCTGGCCTCTCCGGGTCTCTCTTCAGCTGCTTCCCCATAGGCTGGGACAGCAGCTGCTGCCCCTTGGAGGCTCCCAGCTGAGAAGAGTCTGGCTTCATGTTACCGAGCCCACCAAACGGGCTCTTCTTGCCACAGCTTTGCCGGGCCGCGTTCTCCTTGGCAAAGCTGCCGCTGTACTTGATAAGGCTCTGCATGGCAGACCCTTCGCCATGGGAGGTGGGGTGGAGGATGTCTGCAGAGCCCCGGGACCCTACCACCGAGGACCTCTGCAGGCCACTGGGGTCAAGGTACACCTTCTTGGCTTCCTCCTCCACCCGGTTGACGTGGTTGTGCTGGGCGGCTAGCACTGCCATCTGGGTGGTGGCGAAGTTGCCCATTTCAAAGGGCTTCCACTTTTGCTCAGGAGGCTTCAACTGGCCGTGGTCCAGGTGCTGCCTGGAGGAGTCCAAAGTGCCGTAGACCTTTGCTGACTCTTTGGAGCCAGCGCGGGGGAAGCGGTCTCGATCGCAGGCACGGTGTTCCACGTCCGGACTCGGCTTCATCAAGTCCTTGGCCGCCAGGAACTCCCTGCTCTCCGGAGACCCCAGGCCAGGCCGGTTCAGGAAAGGCTCTGAAGCCACCTGCCTCTTCAGCGCCATAGAGTTGGCCCTGATCACTGACCCCTTCTCCCGCAAGGCCTCCATCCTTTTGGCGTCGCTGTGGCAAGAGAAGTCCTGGGACAAGAGGGTGCGGGTGGTGTCAGCAAGACACCGCTCTGTCGGCGACTGCAACACGCCCACCTTGCCCATGTCCTTGTCCTTCGCTTTGTTGTCCCGGGCCTGGGAGGCGATCTGGATGGGCCCGTTCCTCTCATCGTAGGCCTCGACCGAAGGCACGAAGGTGGGGGCAATGACTTTGTGTTCCCTCCCGGGCTCTTTGGCCGGGGGGAAGATGGTGTACATGTTGGAATGGACAGGCTGCGGAGGGAATGTCGAGGACGGCGCCATCTTCCCCGGGGGAGCTGCGTGTGGGGAGGGGCAACTGCAGGAAATGTGCAAAGCACCAACCGAAGTCAGGATGGAGTCACCCCTTTTCAGCCTGTCGGGGTGGGCGTGAGCAGAAGGCCTCATGTTCTCGTCGTGCCGGCTGGGGTCCTTGGCACACCGGTCCTGCTCAACCCCCAGCACTTTCAGCATGGGGTCCCCACCACCATTGCAGTTACTGAGGGAAGAGGTCTGCAGCGGGTTCTTGGACTTTGGTTCTCCATTGCCAGCCCCCCGATTTGGCATGTGCTCCATGAGAAAAGGGGACAGGCGCTCCCCTGCCTTCACCAAGCCAGCCACTTTCCGCTCGCTGTCGGGCTTGGTGTCCTGGGTGAGATCCACCACGCTGCGTGGCCGGGGCTCCTCTTTCTGCTTGCTGTCCTTCTTGGAGAAGGGCAAGGAGAGGTCGCTCCTACACGCCCGCTCCTTGCCAGGGGGGTCTTTCATGCTCTCCTTCGAGCTTTTGTGCAGGTGCCCAAGGTCTTTCTCGCGCAGCAGGGCACTTGGCGTGTGATTGGCCGCCGTCCTCGAGATGGGGGCTTGGGGTTGCAAGGCTGGCTGCCCCACATGGCCGGACAGGTAAAACCCATCTGCAAAACAAAACGGGACAAGGTGACATCGGTTTCTCTCCAATGCTGGTGCAGAACAGGGGCTATGCCCTCTTGGGACCCCTGCGGCTCTAGGGTGGGAGAAATGGGCATGTTAAAGTAGGCCAGGGCATGACGGGGTTGAGACCACAGATCCCCCTTGCATGCAGGGGCAAGGGGGATCCTTCATAGCCCCCCTGGTGAGCAGGTAGCCGTGATGCTGAGGCCTGACAGGGTCCCCAGAACATGGCCAAATCCCAAATCCAAGATTCAAGGGATGGGTAGGGAGGAAAGAAAGAGACTGCCCAGAAACCCACCTCTCCCATGGCTGAGCCCAGCTGCCCCACCCCATCCTGAGAGCAGCACCCTGGAACCGAGGGGCTGCCTATGCCATGGAGAGAGACAACCGCCCTGTTTTTTAATCCCTGATGAAGTTCAACTGGAACCCCTCTGATCTCCCAGTGCAAGGCCATCACCATACGGCAGCACAAGCCCCTTCCCGCCCTGGGGACTGACAGACAGAGTTGCAATGGCTTCATGGCAAGCATCCAGCCCTGCAAGGGTTTGCATGGAGCGAGCCAGGGTGGCTGCAGTCCAGGCTGACCCTCAGCACAGGTACAGGCATCAGCTCTCTGCTGCAAGTCACACTGCCCTGCCCTCCTGACCCCACGCGTGTGAAACATCCAGAGCACCAGGATGTCCAGAGACTGTGCTCGTCTTCGGGAGAAAAGAATGAGCCAGCTCCAAGCCTCAACGGGTTAATTCATGAGGTCAGGCTTGTGGGTCTGTCCCAGGAACCGAGGGACAGGAAAGGACCAATGGGCAACTATAAGGGCTAATAAGACCCATCTGGCTCCTGGCCTTGTACTCCCCACCCTTTGGTGCCCCGTGTGTCTGGGTCATTGCAGCATGAGCAAAAAGTCACCACCATCCCAGGCATCAGCAGCAGCTCAGCTCAAGCCCTGTGGCACCCCAAAGCACACAGGCTGATTTGGCCCGTGCATCTCCTGGCCTGTCCCCTGCTCCGTTGTCTCAGCCCAGGCCCCCTGCCTGTACTGGGAGTTTTAAGGTGTCTGCACCCCAAAACCAACACGCCACTAACGCAGCTGCTCGGCAGAGACGCCTTCCTTCTGGCTATTACAGCGGGGATGAACCTAACTTAAAAAGCCAGCGGCGCTCAGGGCCTTCTCCAGGCAGGGGTGACACCCGACTGCCCCTCTTCCCCTCGCCACCCCCTTTGGCTCAACGGCCATGGAAATCTGAGACAGACGAGAGCTACCCGTGACCAGCCGACCCCATAGCTGTACCCCTGTAGACAGGGAGAGGGGGAGGTAAGGCCTGATATGCATGGAGGCAGCTCATCCCAAACTCTTCTCTAACGGTGCTAGTAGCACTTGGTCTGTCTGCCCTAGAGGCCGCGACCGCTGTGTTGGGGCTGGGCTTGGATGGTAGAAATAAAGGAAAAGCCCCCCTTAGGCTGGACATGGTCCTTCTTGGCACGATCGTCTTCCTCCTTCGAAAACGCTTCCAGGGCTTGGATCACCAGGGTGGTGCGATAACACGGGTGCACAGATGGATGAGGACAGGCTAGAGAGGGTACACGCACGTGGTTCACAATACACCCGTACAAACACACTGACCTTTCTGGGACTCGAAGAGGCTGTGCTGGCCCAGCTGGGCTAGGAGGGGGCTGCCGCTGCTGGGAGGCTCGAGATGATTCAGGGGAATGTACGAAGGGTACAACCCGTTAGGCAGATGGGAGAAGCCTGGAAAACAGAAGAGGAGACACGTTTCAGCCCAGCCGGCGCGTTGCATTGGAACACGCCCCGCGGAGTGACAGATTGTTATGGCTGGCGAGCCCCCCACGCCAGGAGAGGCGGCAGCGAAGCTCCACGCAGCTTGGCTTGAACCAGCCGGCGAGCCGTGCAACGCTGCAAGATGGGCTCAGCCCCTGGAGATCGGGAGCAGCATTCAGAGCTTCCCGCTAGAGGGTGCTGCCAGCCCCTCCAATGCTCCCCCTCGCAGTACAGCCCTCCAGGAGCACGGGTGTCATTGCATCCCCCCGCGGCATGCGTCAGAGCCTCGAGCACACAGGCTAATGCAAGTCGGATGAAAATTGTTACTCGCCGCAGGTGTCACCCCTCCCCGCCGCACCACCGACGGTCAAAAGGGCCCAGTGCCTGTCATCGTGAGACCCCCAGTTGCTTGCAACTTTGCCAAGCTTTAGCCATTTGAGTTAACACTCCCCAGTGCTGGGCATCTGCCTCTAGGCGATTTTGCGGAGAACATCAGCCCAAATGGTTCGCGCCTGGCAGTTACGAGTACTTGAAAACAGGGTCTGCTCAGCACCAGGCACACCGTACAGAGCAATGAGTGCGCTCCAAAATCCCCAAAATACAGGACTATCACCTCCGAGTCACCCACAGGAAGACAACCGTGTCAAGCTCTTTGGGGGAGGGACAGTCTTTTGGGCTACCTGGCTGTATAGCAACAAGGAGAGTGGGGCCCCAATCCAGGACTAGGGAGCTCAGGCATTACTGTAAAACGGGTCCCCACGGCCGCACACGTGTAGCATTACACACAGAGCGGCTGTCCTGCCACTGCCACCTAACGGCAGCCTGGGGGTACCGCGTGCCTTGGCACCGTTCCCGTGTCCCAGAGTGGGTCCAGTTGGGGAATCTTAAGATAAGAATTGACTTTCCCTGGTGCGTCGCCATTTTAAGAGCTTTCCTTTTCCCCCAAATTAAAACCACCTGGAGAGTCCTAATGGATTAGGCAAGAATAAAATCACCGAGTCAGGCATTTAACGGCTTCACCCCTAGGTCAAGGCTTGCAAGAGAATTCCCCAATCCCATCCCTACAGCAGCAATACTCCAGAGACAGCCCAGAAATCAACTGATTAAAAAAGAAGCCAACCAAATTCAAGACAGAGACTCTCTCAAGGATTCAGTCCTTTTGCACACATACACGGACATGCACACACGTGAACCCCAGTGAATGGGCTCTGTGTGCCGTGGTCATCTACCAGAGGGCACCGGAGTGGCTTAATTTCTCTGTGCAGCTTATCAATTTAGCTAGGTCATCACAGAGACTGCTCCATCTCAGATGCTTTCTGGAGCAGGGTAACGTGGGCTGTTGTCACTGCGAAGGGCCACGCAACTGGAAGAAAAAGACAGCTTGGAGGTCCCAGGTGGCCACGACCTTGCGACGCTTCTTGTATTATCGTATAAAAGCCCTGTATCTGCTCCCTTTGCCGGGCATGAAATGTTCACATTGGACTTCCACTTCACACTCAACCAGCCAACACGCTTGCTTGGTCCAGGGACTGGAGGGTCTGCTCCACAACGAAGCATTATTCTAGTGCATAAGCCAGCTCCTGGGAACCAACTGCAGCCAATTCAGTAATGACACGGGGAAGAGACCAGGAAAGATTTCACCTGAAACCTAGCACGACACTCAGTGCTGACGCTGCTTGGCACAACCGTACTCCGGGAACACTTCCCAGGCCGCACACACCCAGTGAGCAGAGGACACACTAGGTTCACCATCAGGTACCAACACACTTGGTTCAGTTTTCAAGCAGCTGGGTCATGAGCTTTGGGGTTGGCACTGGGACTATCGCGATCGCCATCCCTACACCAAGCCCGCCCTGGCCACAGACCACCCCCTTTGGGAAGCCGAATCAAGCAAGGTACAAAGCATGGAAGTACTGAAGAAACCGTAGCTCTAAAGGGCTCAGGCCAGACCAGGTCTTGAACCATTCCTCTTCCTCAATGCCCATGGCTCTCTCTTCTCAGAGACCTTATTTGCACTGGTCTTATTTCTCCAAGGAAGAGGTTCTCAACCATTTTAGACTTGAGGCACCCCTGGATAGAGCGGAGGCCCCTCTTGGAAAATGCCAGCTCTTAGTTTTCCCTCTTTTGCCTGCTGAAAAATAATAGAGAAGCTTTTTTTCTGTTGCAAAGAACTCAGACAGGCCACGGCTATGGATTCCCACCTGTAATTTCTGGGTTTACCTTGTGAATCATGTCTGTAAACCTTACGGTGCCACGACACCCTGGCAGAGAATCGCTGCCCTAAGCTACAACTCTTCCAGGGGGAGTTCGGTGGCAGAGAAAGCACCCGAAAAAGACAACCCAGTGCTAAGACGCCAGCCACGTGGTGGAAACTCATCAGGGGTGGCCAAGAAAGGAGGCTCACGAAGAGTGGAGACTTCCTCGACACCCAGCTCCTCGCGGGACCATGGCTGTACATGGTCTGGCTGCTAACAGAGACAAAACCAAATGCTCCGCAATGCCCAGTTAAATAGGTGGGCTGCACCCCTGGTCCTAATGGGGGCCAATGAGGCTTCCTGCCTGTTGTAGGCCATGGCTGGCTTTCGGGAAGACCCCGTCATTCAGACTCGGTGACGTGCATGAAGCCACCCCGTCACGATCCCCCCTCCAGAGCTGTTCCAAACGGGGCTGGAGAGAAAGGGCAGGAGCAAAGCAAGCTCGCAATCAGTCCAGGTCACTTCCCACCCCTCCAACCCGGGACCTCCTGCCCGTCTCCAGCAGCATCCCGGGCCCCGGCTCGGTGGAACGGGGTTTCCGAGGCCGGCAGATCCAAGCGCTAGAGATCCTCGGCGGGGCGGGGAGGGGGAGTGGGTGCACGGAGGTCGAAGGTCGGGTGCAGTCACCTTTCAGTTCCTCCCCCCTGCCCAGAGGGAGGAAAGTTATTACAGATGTTTTACACCAGCTGCCATGGTAACCGGAGCCAGGAGCGGCGCGGCAACAAGCCCGCCTTTTGTGCGTGCTCAGGGCCCGGGAGCAGCCCCGAGCTCTGCGGCATTGTGGGGAAAGCACGCACAGGGGCTACGGAGCCGGGGAGCCCCGAGGGGCAGCAGGGTCAGGGGGGCAGGCAAAGCCTCAGCACTCGGATCGCCTCCCCGCCCCCACCGGGCTGCTGGGGAATAAACAGATTAATTAATATTGAGGCCCTAGCAGCCTCGTTCTGCA